AACTTCGAGACCAATGTTATGTCAATCATAAGACCCATCACTGACTATAATAACACATTGACTGAGAAGGAAGGCCTCAGATTATGTGAACTATTCAATGCATGCCTTGTGTTGAGGGATAAACCGGTAAACAAGACGATTGTCGAGACCAGACAGGTAGAGGCTGTCAGAGCTGTGGTTAATAATTGGGAGCAAATTACACACAATATCATCAAAATGTCGAAACAGTTGGAACTGTTCAACGATATCTGCAATGAGGACCAAATCGCGCTAATAAAGTACGGGTGCATTGAAATGAGTTGTATCCGACAAGTCATGGCATTTGATTTACGTACCAAACATATGACTACTATCGCCGTATGTTTAGACCAAATATTTAAATATAAATTGTAACTTACTAATAACTGATACTTAATATGTACTGATAGGACAATGGAAACTCAACATTAGTTAATTTAACTCTTATTAGGGAAACTAAATCACATATTTATGAAGTATATGGACAATTTATTGACCAATTCATTCCACATTGGAATTGTGACCCTGCTATTATGGACCTGGTATTAATAATTGATTTCTATGATATATNACTAATAACTGATACATAATATGTACTGATAGGACAATGGAAACTCAACATTAGTTAATTTAACTCTTATTAGGGAAACTAAATCACATATTTATGAAGTATATGGACAATTTATTGACCAATTCATTCCACATTGGAATTGTGACCCTGCTATTATGGACCTGGTATTAATAATTGATTTCTATGATATATCATATATGATACATATAAATTGTTGAATAATATTGCCACTTTTAATTACATTAGATGATAGCCATAGCACTGTTCAACCCTAACCGCCCAAACCTTAAATGTAAAGAAGTGGTTAAGTAAGTGCTAATAATAAAATATTTACATTAATTAATTAGTGTTTGTTTTATAGACTCCAACAACACATTTATATATATTTATTGCAACGCTATTTACAATTGAAATACCAATCCATTGATGAGAGTTACTCACGACTTATCAAATTATTAAAAAGTTTTAAAGTTTTGAAATTTTTGAACGAAATGATTGTCAAAGAATTCTATGAATACGGAACGAGATTCATGGGACCACTTTATAAAGAGATCCATGACTTATAAAAGTTACCCTGCTATTTACTAAATAAAACTCATTACTTTATATTTGTTAAAATTAATAATTTTATTTTGATTTTTATGAATAACTCTCATCATTACTTACTTATTTTCAATTTGTTTGCTCAAAATCAAAGAATCGATAACTTGTTTCAATCAGAAAATATTTATTATTTATTTTAATTTATAAAATATGTTAAAAGTTTATTTAACCCAGTAAAGATAATCTAATGATTTTGAGATATTGCACTGTATCCAGTGAATTTTGGTGTACTGTAGATATTTGGGTGCATATTTTTGTATTTTTATTACAACGCTATTTACAATTTAAACACCTGTCCCTAGATGAGACCAAATCAAGGTTTATTTATTTATTAAAATATTTTCAAGTATTAAGATCTTTGAATGAAGTTGTTGTTAAAGATATCTATAACTATAAATACAGCAAGGTATTTATGGGACCAATTTATAGAGAGATCCATGACCTCTATAAGTTATTTTTTATAATTGATTTAAACGGTTAAAGTGATTAATTTATTTACATTAATTGTATTATTATTATTCTATAGTAAGGTATTATTGTGAGCTATTGGAAATTCTTGAAAATAACATTACTGTGCACACATTGCTAATATATTTGCACTCATTTGTTCGCAACTAATTAACAATTATGAGGAAATAATGTTATAAATATTGCCTATTAATGAAGTTATTGGTTTGTGGGCGCACTAGTTTAGCACTTAAATATGCGAATGCACCCATATACTGTATTATGTATAAAAGTTACACAATGAACCTACTAATAATTACACAATGCTGTATTAGAATTTTTAAGAATTATTATCTTGTGTTTCTCAATTCGTATGGTGAATATCAATGTATTATTATATTAATATTAGTATTATTAAAGAATTACTAAATAAAAAGTGTGTACTTTATGAACATAAATAATTAATTCTCGTTACCAAGGATTTATTGCAAACTTAGATTTCATAAATAATCGAAATTATTATATTTGTTAACATATTTTTAAATAAATTGTGTTAAATGCTAAGTATTGTAAAAATTTAATAAATTGTATAATGGATCAAACAGAGTGGACAGATATTTGTGTGGTTTGTGGGGATAAGGCATGTGGTGAGTATCCATTTAAATCATATTTATCACGGTCATATGTTTATATTACATATTAGTTTTTATTAAAGTAATATTATGGAATCTAGAATCTGGATATTATTGATATTATATCATAAAAATATTCAAAACTAGGTATTTATTATGATTTTATTAGAATTCCAATAAAATATTATTGTAGTTTTATTTTAATTTATGTAAATTAATTGTGTTAAAAATATGAAAATACTGTATTCATAATCAATAATATATCCCAATTACTATTTTTTAAACATATTGTGTAAACAGCTTAAAAATATACAACAAATATTTTATATTAAATTCCTAAAGTTAGAAATACTGATATATACCTCACATTTAGGTTACAACTATTCTGTCAAGACATGCATTTCATGCAAAACATTTTTTAGACGATATGCCCATAAGATTGATGTAAGTTATGTTCTCAAATTTTCTATAGTATTATTAATTGTAACATGTTTACATAAATATTTTTCATTGGTAGAAATTTAAATGTGATTTTAACGAGAATTGTACAATTGACATTGTTTGTCGCAAATTCTGTCAAAAATGCAGACTAAATAAATGTTATTCTATGGGCATGAGAAAGGTATGTTTATTTATTAGTAATTAATTATTACTATGGACTTTAATTTTATTTAAAAAAAACTTTTTATTATTAAATTTAGAGATCACTTTGTTTGGATGAAAGTCGTTTGAAAAAACTTTTTACCAAAACTAAGTACCTGGCCACTCTAAATAACCAATCATTAGTACCAGTAATTAATAATAATGTAGATACAAGTGAACAAGAGTTTAACCACGACAAATATACCCAAACAAGTTCATTTAAAAGTTATATTTTCGATGAAGTCTTACCACATAAATGGTTTGATGAAAGCAAACAAATGAGACCAAAGTCCGACCACAACGTGACATATGTCTTGAGACCGATCATGGATTACAGGAATAATTTCAATGAATTAGAAGGCATTAAATTCACGGAATTACTGAATGCATCAAATGAATTGTCCACTGGTTTTACACGTATGGGTGGGACTCACGAGGTGTGGACAGTTATTGATAGCGGGACCGAGATGTTGAAAATATGGGCCTCAAAAGTAGAGGAGGGTATCCACCAAGTGGTCAAATTGGGCCAACACTTGGGCTCATTTAATAATTTTTGTGAGGCCGACAAATTATTGCTACTAAAACACGGCTCCATTCATGTGATATACATGCGATTAATGACATGTTTTAATTGTCAACACAATTATTGGACTATTACTGCGGTATGTTTTGTTCATGAACATTTTCAGCAAATGTTTAACTATTGTTAAGGCAAATATTAATTACAATTTCACTGACAGAACCACAAAAACACGATTTTTAGTCTGGATTTATTGGAGTCCAAACTTTCAAAACCCGATCGCTACGAATTACAAAGGTCATTTTTGTGTACATTTCAATTTGACTGGGACTCCGATGTAGTTATCATGAATTTGGTATTTGATTTATAATGTTAATTAATTACAGTAATAATAAGTTTATGAATATATTTGACAGATGACGGCGATTATCTTTTTTAGTCCCAATCACCCGAATCTCTGTCATAGAGATGTTGTCGAGTATGTACTTATAAAACATATTATTAATATATATTGTATATAAATAATAATAATTTATATTTCAATGTCTACTCAGATTTCAACAGAGGATTTATATGCATTTACTTGAACGCTATTTATTATTAAAATATCGCTCGGAATCCGAATCAAACTTACGATTCTTGAGATGTTTGAATAGTATTACACTTTTGGACAGTATTTTGAACATAAAGGAAGACATTAAGAAAGGTTTGGAAAAAAGATCACTGAAAATGCCACCAATTATTGAGGAGATTTACGATTGGGATCATGATGAACCTGTTCATATTTAGATTATTTAATAAATATAGATGTATAAACTGTTTTTTGTCCCAATGTTATTTATTATCATAAATAATTCATTTCTTAATAAAATAAATTAGAAATAAATGTTTGATTAATTTCAATGTTTATTGTTTTGAATTTGCAAATAAACACATTTTAATAGTTGTGAATGAAAAACTCACGTAGTTTTCCAATTAGTTAATTTTTCTATCCAAAAAAATAAGTTAAATTTACGTCAAAACACATTTGTACTATAATCCATAATTAATTAATGTTAATATATACAATTAAAAGTGACAATAATGCTATTAATAAATGTAATCGTTTCTAACAGATTCTAAAATTTAGATATATTTAACCTTACATAACGTAAAACACATGCCTGCTACTTAAAAATAGCGGTTAAAAAATGTTTAATTATTAAAATTATAAAAATAAAAATTTATAATAAATATATTTGTTGTTGCTTTTGTCAAATACTACAGGAAATCCGAAATTATAATCATAACAAATTATTCTGCGATTACATAAACAATATTTTGAATGATACAGTGCAATGTGCACTAAACCTTTTCGTATAAAAAGCATTGCAATTTATTCATAAGAGCATCTAGTTCATCTCGTGTAATCTCAATAAAGAACTTCTAAGAATTATATTGCTGATAATTTAAATATCAAGTACAATATAGATATATAATATAATATAGCTTAATTCTTGATAATTAATATATTATTAAAAAGTTACATAAAAGCCACAGCGAAGTCCTTAAATGCTGAATAATGTTAAATGTTGTCTTAGAAACATGTGATTAATAATACAGTTTGAGATAACTATTGATCTGTTATTTTCAAGGGTTACAAAAATAAACATAGAATCTGTTTTCGATTCTACTGTTTATCGAGATAAATATTTAAGTTATATAAACTTATATAAAAAAGAGTTTTGAATTTATTATTTGAAATTCAC